TGTGTGTGTGTGTGTGTGTGTGTGTGTGTGTGTGTGTGTGTGTGCGCGCGCATGTGTGTGTGTATGTGTGTGTGTGTGTGTGTGCGTGTGTGTGTATGTGTGTGTGTGTGTGTCTGTGCGTGTGTGTGTGTGTGTAGTCATCGGAGGTGTGGATTAATGAAAACCAAGGATGCGAAGTCAGTGGAAGCATGCCATGTCATCAACGCAAATCCCTGCGGAATTTGGTGTTGAAAGATGGGTCTTTTGATGTTTGTCTTTTGTACTCCATTCCAATAAATGCACATTATTTATTGTTTTGAAACATCATTCCACCCACACACACACACACACACACACACACATAGAGTTGTGCAAAGCAGTCGTAAAAATGGCCCTTGCAATTGCTTGCAAAATAAACACAAACAAGTGGATGAAAATTGTCACGTGCATGAAATATAACAAACGCGCCACAGCTCGCGGCACATAATCTACGTTTCCCGCCACATCAACACAAACTACGGACATGGACATGTCGTCAAGACGAATCACTAATGAAACCAGGAAAGTGCATCCTCCAAAACAATATATATCTATATGCATGTGTATATATATATAGACGAACAAGTCCTGACAAAAAAACAATCCAACCCCCAGCAATGTCACGTGCTACAACCGTTAAACTAGACTAACAATCCAACCCCTGACTATACCATGTACTACGCGCGTTTAACTAAACTGTCCGGAATGACCGCCATCACTGTGGCACCGACGGAGAACAAGCGAGGGAGGAAACGCTGACAGATGCACCAACATGGCGACCGACCGCGGGAGAACATCAGCAGAAGCAGGAGCTGAGGCGGCATCAGGACCTATCCCTGATGGCTTTGGCGATATCCAGCAATGCAAAGCACGTCATCCTGTTCGCCTCATTGGACGCCTCATAGTGCCACTGCTGGGCATCGACCTCGCGCTCGAGCATGCCGCACTCCCGCTCCAGAATGGAACACTGCCGCTTGCTTGCCCCCTTCACGACGTCAACCATCAATGCGTCGTGCTTCTCCATGACTTTGGTGATGGCGTCGAACGTCTGCTGCCGCGTGTTTTTCCTCTTGCTGTTCCCTCCCATGCTGCCTGCACTGAAGCCGGACTCCGGCGCCGAGCCTCCATCGTTGTCGTTGCCATCACCCACATCTCCCCCGGCGGCAGATTTTCCAAGAACGGATGGCGCACGTGGCATCTGCACTCCTCCGCGGGCGCTCGTGTCAGCCAGGTTGTCCGGGTAGGTCTTATTGCCCTTTGACATGTTTTCGATCTCAAGGTACACGCGCTCGTCCATTTGGAAGTTGAAGCCCTCTTCAGTTCTCAACGCAGGTGTTCAGTTGACGTTCTTCCCCCCGGAGGCGTTCTGGTATCGGTGCACCTTCTTGTATTGCTGGAAGACGTTATCCCACTTCTTACCGATGTTGTCAGTCGTCCTGTTCACGCCCACCTCCACCGAACACTTATGCAGGTCCTGCAGCTTCCATTCCCTATTCCGCATCCGCCCTTAGTGTGCGGCATTCCATCAAAATGAGCTTGCTGATCCCGCTTTGCCCGGGCGAGTTAGAGCATCTCCTCAACACTCCATGCCGGACGTTTGCCACCCTTCTCACCTGCAGGACCCTTCGATCCACGACCAGCACAGGAAACGGCCTTATGTTGACGCCCGCCTTCGGCCCTTCCTCTACCACGCATAGCCACGGGTCGAATCTCCAAGTCATCTGCGTCTTCCGCTTCATCTTCACAAAGAACATCTGAAGATTCATCACCACTCGCCCTGTAGGAGTCTTCAGCATCGCCGTCGCTTCCAACACGCATCCTCGACACCCCGCTCGTTATGTTCTCCGCTCTCAGTCAGCGCATCTGTTGCCGATAGGACTCCCACACCTCCCTGCCACTTTCTTCCGCTCTGGTGCTGCTTGTGTTCGCCACCACTACGGCCACCCTCTGTCGTGGTGCAGGCGAAGGCGTTGCCGAAGGAGGGGGCAACGTTGTCATCGCCATGTCACCAGATGATCCTGCGCCTCGAGAAAAGGAAGGCATCGGACGACACCCATCTGCGCTGCCACCCTGTGGACAAGACCTTCCACCAGGCGCCACCCCTTCCACCCTATGCACTGACGTTTGTCCGCGCTGACACCGGCCACAAGATTGAATGTATGAGTGTGTGTAACAGCTGCAGCAGTCCCGCTTGACAAGCCAAAATCCAAGTCCACAATCTCCATATTGCCTCCACCGATACCCTCCTCCAGCACTGAAGAGAACGACTGACGAATTGTCTCCACCTCCCCTTGTCTACAATGGCTCCCCATCCAGTCCTGCGTAGATCCGCTCCCAAGAGGCAACATGTGGGACAAATCCTCCACCCATTCCTCTTCCTGATCCGGCGGTAACGGCTGCTCGTGTGGTGGCAGATGACTGTACAACATCAGGTCAAACGCGGCTGTACGAGACGCCCTTCCCACTAGTTCTGGCGTGGAGAAGTCGATCGCACGTGCTTGCTGTCCGCTGGAGGTTTCCCGCCTGTCCATTGCCGTCTTCCCCACCGCTCGTCGTTTCCGTCTGCTGCCAGGACCCCACACAACGACACAGACATGCAACAAGACGACAAGGAGCAGGAGAAGAGTGGCCAGCAGCAAGAGCGGAACCCGCTGAAGGACGTCTTCCATGAATCACACCGGGCGAGGAGTGCAGCAAACAAAGCTCTCCCTCATGCGGCCATCAATAGCCAAAAATACATGCTGGCGGGGACTGCAGTCGGCCAATCGCGGCTCCTTCAGGCCATGCAACATCTGCTGTCGGCGCTTGTTCCACAACGATCCATCAATCGCGGCTCCTTCAGTCCAAGGCACCTCACAAGGACCCCTACAATCCAAGGACGTTTTGGTTAGGGATTCTAAGGAATCTCAAGGAATTCTCTCCGGGAGGGCGGGGGGGGGGAGTCACATTTTTCCAAAGAATGTGGAGAAAAGTGCTGTGTAACAACGCAGAATTCCTAAAAATCGGCTTTCCAAGGAGGGTCTAACCCCAAAGTATGACAAGAGGAAAGCAATATACGCTTAGATTTCCAAAAGTGGTTGAAGATAACAGGGCAGATACACACTCAAAGCTCAACATACAATTGCAAAATCGTCAAAGAATAATCATTGATCCGTTTCACAATAAGTCGAGCCCCAGCTCATGGTCACTCCGCAGCTTCTTCATGGCATCCTCCCTTACACCCATAAGCCTGGGGTACAGTCCGATAAAAAAATACCGGTGATCCTAATCATAGTGTGCTTCACCCAGGTAAGAATTGCTACGGAAGGGGAAGTCTTTCAGTGCAACAGCACCGTTCGTTCCAGCCTTTCATCCCCCCAGTGTGCCATTTTTCCTCCGCTCTCGTATCTCCCCCTTTCCTTCATGGCTAAGAATCCCCACCCTTCCCCATCACATTGCCGCTCGCAACGCATGCAGTTGCTCCATTCGTTCCTCCACCATGTCCACTCTCCTTCCTTCATCCCCCTATTCCGAACTCTCCACGGTCTCAGCATCTCGGAACACTCAGATATGGCGGCTGCAGGGACAAATCTTGGACGGGGCTTGTATCCTCCTTGGATGTTCTTCACCGCTGGCAGGAGGGGTGTGGCTGCCCTAAAAGCTTTTTCGCTGTTGCCACTATCTTGGATGTTCTTCACCGCTGGCAGGAGGGGTGTGGCTGCCCTAAAAGCTTTTTCGCTGTTGCCACTACCAGCTCATCGGAGAGATTTGAACACCTGCAATCACACACACATACATCCAACACGGAGGCACACAGACAGACGAAGTCCAGACACACATGGCCACGAGGATAGTGTGCCGCTAGTTCCGCTGCTATCTCCTCTTCGGCATTGGGCGTAAGCCGCAGGTCCGCGTCTGCTCCAATCGAGAAGTCCCAGTCCACCATAGCAAACAGAGTATCGCCGGTCCGCTTCCACCGCAAGTTGCTCCACGGTTTGAATGTGCAGGCTCAATCTCAAACACATGCATGCAAATGATGAGGCTGAAGAGGGTTTTATCATGAAATCGAAGCATCTGGTGTGTCGGTAGTATCATGGGAATTGCCATCAGGGGCGGGGGATCAGGGCAGTTCTTTCCAAAAGTTATACTGGGATCTCTGCTGAGAAAACTCCCGCTCTTCATTTCCCGAGGGGTGTCGTGCGGGCAGGTGAGTGGGTGTTCCCCCTTATTCACCTTTCCTCATTCCAGGTGCATCCACAGTGGTTCCCAAGTCGACTTGAGTGTTTCTTCTGCATACGACCCCGCCTGCTGCTCCCTGAGGGATGGTGTGCGGGTGGGTGAGTGGGTACTCCCCCTGTTCCCGTTTTCCTGCTCCAAACGCATTACAAATGGAAAAAGAGTCGGACCAGAGTTTTCTAGAAAAAGGATCGCAGCTGCTCCCTGCTTCCAAATCATCCCACTGTCCGAGGTGAGGGTTTCAAGTCTGCCTTGTTTGGTTGTGCGGTCCTTTCCTGGCTGGATGTCATTTCAGGTACCAGGTAGTCCCCCATGCTTCGGGTGGAAGGGCCCAAGGTGGGCTTTTCGACTCCGCCTTGTTTGCTCGTACGGTCCTTTCCTGGCTGGATGCCATTTCAGGTACTGGGTAGTCCCCCATGCTTCGGGTGGAAGGGGGCATGCTAGGGGACCCATGACCCAACGAAATGGAATAGAAATAAGGGGGGGCAAAAGATGTAACGGGGGCAGAAGCAGAGCGAGAAAATGGGATCTCGACTTGGACCCAGTTCCTTGTCGCTGGGCTTATGTTTCAGTTCCTTTTTCCTCTCAGCTCCGTACCTGTCCTTCTTGGGGGATTTCTAGGACTTTCCATGCTGTTCTTGCTCCCTTGAATTACCTGTTTACGTGTGTGTGTGTGTGTGTGTGTGTGTGTGTGTGTGTGTGTGTGTGTGTGTGTGTGCTGTCATATTCGCTATACACTAAAAAAAAGCACGACTGTGCCAGACTGTTTTGTCAGACTTTCACCAACTCATCAGGAGGTGTGTGTGTGTGTGTGTGTGTGTGTGTGTGTGTGTGTGTGTGTGTGAGAGAGAGAGAGAAGGGTTTGCTATTTCTTGAGGAGAGGTCACAGAAGCCATACTCTTGAGAAGGACAATTGTTAGTAACGGCCCAGACCGAACCTGTTATAGGTTCCAGTTTAGGGCATCGCTTCAAGCCAGACATGTTTCAGGACTGACTCAATTCCTAATGGAATAGCAGTACGAGCTACATTCTCAGCAGTACTTGAGCACCATAATTGGTTGGACGACGAAATCCTATATGCGCTGACAACGTATCCATGTGCAGCAAGCCAGCCAAAACAAAGACCTTCACCTCAAACCAGTTGTCATCGACATTTCTAGGCATGGAAATACATTAAGACAAGGCCAAACCAAAACTTCCCCACCATGGCTGTCACCACCTTAACAGTGCAGACTACCTCCAAATTACTATCTCCCTAATGACAGAGCCCCCTAAGCTAGTCCAGCATTCCACGCAGATTAGCATCCCAATGAACACAGACTTGCATTGCCACCAACCTCCAAATTATTATCTCCCTAATGATGGAGCCCCGTAAGCTAGACCAGCATTTCATGCAGATTAGCGCCCAAATGAACACAGACTTGTGTTGCCACCAAACTTCAACCTGTCTCAAAGCGTCCCGTACAGCCATGCAACACCAATCTCTCTCGTGCCCAGCATTCCATCCCGATTAGCATCCAAATGAACACAGGCTTGCATTGCCACGGGCTTCGTACAGCCATGCAACATGAATCTCTCTCTTGATAACTGATTATCCGAACCATGGGGTACAACCTCCACACCATTCCATCAACAAACTAGCCATGCCACGCCATGTTATAGCGTAAGTGACCTCGAAAGGATGCAACCAAACGGTGAGGTAAGCCTCAAATCAAGCTCTCTTGATAACTCACTATCAAATCCATTGGGTACAAACTCCGCAGCATTCCATCAATAAACTAGCCACGCTATGTTATCATAAGTCATCTAACTCGCGCCAGTTCAGCCGAAAGGACGAAAACAAACGCTGAGGTAATCGAGCATTCATGCGCCAGTTAGCCGAAAGGACGAAAACGAACGCTGAGGTAATCAAGCATTCATGCGCCAGTCCCATCCAGGGAATTCCCGGTATCGTTAGGGCTGCTGTTCCAATTCATCAAGACCGTCCCAGTCCATCCAGATTCATCCCGGTCAGGTCCAGGACGTTTCAATCCCGTCCAGGCACATGCAGTCCAATCCAGCCCGTTCCCGACTTTACTCAGGCCGCCCCGTTCCACCGGCCTCGTTCCAGCACACATCCCAACCGTCCCAATGAAGGCAATTAATCCAAAAGTCCCATACCCAGAGAGAACGAACAAAGAAAGAGGGAGAGAGCACCACATGCCAGTTGCGCTCTTCGTGCCAGGCTACAGATCGCCCATTGTACAAAATTCCCCACCCTTTACTCCTTATCATTCCGAATAACACTTCCCCCCCCCCCCCGTCTTACCGCGGCTGCTGGCACGGAGTTGCCGGGGCTTCTTCTTCCGTTTCTATCATAATCTCACAACCAATGAAAGAGCCTTACGAGAGAACCACGAACCCTGGTGGAGATATTTCCAGACGAATACAGTTGCGTTACGGCTACTGCCTTAGGCGGAAAGAAGGCGAGAAAAAGGACAAAAAGCTGCGAGCTAGTGACTACGGCTTCAGCGACGTAGCAGCACCTCGTCGAATGCCACCCGCACCGATCAAACAACCCATGCCACGCCTAGAATAAGGATGTGCGTTTAACCACACAGTAGACTCGGAATTTTCTTCCCCAGAATGGGGCGTGGGCAATCAGAGAGAGAAAGAGAGAGGACAGATTGTGTCGTAGTCGGCCGGCACTTCCTTCCCGATATGACTTTCCTGATAGGGCAATGGCGCATGCCACTCCAGCATTTCTTCGAGGTACCTCCAGGAGGTGAGTTGAATCTTCGGGCGCTCCCGGCGGCGTTTCCATCGGCCGTTGGCAGGGCGCCCGCACATGGGATGATAATGCGAGAGCAAAGCGGAGGTTATGGCATCGATTGTGGAAGAAGAGAACGTCCACATTTCCAGGCAGCCGTGAAAAGAGACTCCCTCGTACGCTCCGCAAATAGAAAACTGCGCTCAGATGATAACGAGAAAACTACCTTCTACTCGGGAAAATGGTGCCAACCCTAGTACCCAGTCATACTCGTTTCGACACCAGCCAGAAAAGAAGAGAGAAGGGAAAGAAGGTAGCAGGAAAGGTAGATGCTCGAGTTCTATATTTATATTTAAAATTATAGGATCCATAATAATATTCCAGGATTTATTTAATTGCATGCGTTCAGAAACTCCATCAATGCTACGCCTCGCTGCTCCTGACTCAGTGTCGTCCAGGCGTCGCGGACCAACCACTATAGCAGGTGCGTTTTCAAAACATGCCATAAAAAACGGGGACTTGTTTTCAGTCATTGCAAAACGTGCACGCGTTTGTCGCCTGTGGGGAGATACATATCCCCCGCCCGTAAAGGTAAAAATGGTGAGGTAGTACCCGTGGTGACAATTTGGGTGGGGTGGGGGTGGGTGGGGGGGGAAAAGATGATTCACATTGCCAATCAGTTTTGCACGAATGAAATGCCAAATCTCCAGCCTACAAAGACGACAACTACGGCTTCAAACACGCCACCCATTAGGGAACAAAATTGGAAAATACATTTTGGATAAACGAATAAGATTCATATTCATTTTCGGTTGACTCCATTCGGCCGGCAAGAGTACCCCCACCTAAAAGAACCACATCAGCATCCTCGAAAGTAGCCCGTCATCCCAATTTCAGGACAAGTCAAAGCAGACTACACAGCGACAATTTCAATACACTACACCATATCATCTCCCCACATCCTCCGCTTCAAAACCGCCGCCGTCTCACACACACACACACACACACACGCACACACACACACACACACACGCACACACACACACACATACACACGCACACACACACACACACATACACACACACACACACACACGTCCCGCCTCCCACATACAGACAAACGCTGCTGCCTTTATGACAAAGAGAACCGGCCGGCCCTACTTTCCCCTTAACAAACTCTGCCGTGCAGTTCTTCGTCTCCACTCTTTTCGTTCTACGAAGCTCCTACGGACGAACGTTCTCAAAATACATGCCTACACAAATCTGCAGTCGACTCGCTAAGCCCGTGCTGCACACCCCATCCATCCCCCCTTCTTGTCTTCTCTTCGCGTCTGTCTCCTTCCTGGCTCTTGATATCGCGCTTCTGCCGAAATGGAAATGTACATGTCAATAATTGTAGGTTCCTCCTCGGTGGCACCCCAACATCGCATCAAATAGCATAATAAAATACTGCTGAGCTGTTTCCCAGACCAGGAGACTAGCAATGCAATGGTCTACTGGCCCAATTTAGAACGAACGATACGGTGCATTCGGGTTCCCTTCTTGTCCGATCTTAAGCGCCTCACTCTCCCGACCCTTCTTGTCCGATCTTAAACGCCTCACTCTCCCGACCTGCCAGACAAGGCAATGCGCAGCTAATCAACGGCACAGCCCCACATCCCTTCTATTGCGACGGAGCACGCCGGCCACTTCTCCATCCTGGACGGACGAGAGACTGTGAAAGACGTGAAGAAACACAACACTCACAAGCAAGTATTAAATGGCTAGACGAGCCAACGATCGAACGAAGCAGTGCTCCTGCCTTCCACATCGAGTAATCTTCGCGGAGACCCCTCCTCGCCTTCTTCGTTATCCATATGGGCGTCAGCTTCTGAACGTTTATGCCAAAACAGGCGAAGACAAGCAGCCAACCACAACGGACTGATTACAGCCTTAGCAGAGAAAACCCTAAGGACCTGGAACGCGAGCGCCATCCTCATCACATCCACATTACTCGACCAAACACGACGGTTTGATTACCGGCTTAGCAGAGAAACCCTAAGGACCTGGACAGCCAGCGCCATCCTCATCGCATCGGCTCGGAACCTCCCCTCGTCTTTCCTGTTTTGAGATCCCGCCAACGTGCCGTTCGTGCTCTCCCGCTGTCGTCGACGGACAGTGGCCGATATTCCCGTCGCTCCGTTCGGAAAGGGGATCACAAACCACCATCCCATGTTTTGTAATTTGTCCCTCTCAAAGTCTCCTCTCCGCCATCTTCATCACCACGTTCAGAACCTCATTTTGGCATCCTCAGCTCTCGGTAGAGTTAGTTACAAGGCTTAACGTGCACACGTGTTTCCCCCCACTGTCCCCTAGTGAGTGACGATCAAAATGCTCAAGTTGGATGCCCTAGAGAAAGTCGAAATAAAACACGTACCGTCCACGATGCGTATCCCATCCTCCTTTCCCTCCTGAGTACAAGAAGCCAGAAAAGAAGCACGAAGATCCATCACCGCATGCATACACTACGCGTCCGTATGTCCAGCGAAAAGGCAATTGCATCGCTGCAGTCGTGATCATACCCAACGATAGCCAGCACGCAAATGTATGTATACCCGCCGTCGGCACCAATGTCAGGATCTCGCACATATGGCTGGTGTATTTATTTAGCAATTAAGGTCGCCGTGCGAAGGACTTTCCCATCTACCCACTGTGCAATGCCCCGCCCTGCCATGGGTCAGCAAGTTGCTGCTCATCGAGCGACGTACGACGCCAAGTAAGTCTGCGAGCCGAGCACTGATTGACTGATTTGGTTGATTGATTGATTGATTGATTGATTGATTGATTGGTTGATTGGTGACAATCGACGACAAGAAATGAGAGATGGAAGTAGGAACCCGGTGCGAATTCATTGCGAGAGAGGGAGAGCAACTTGCTTCCTCTCTGTAACTCGAAGGAAAAAGCCAACGAGAAGAAACAGAATAATACAGTAAAAAGTTTTCAAAGCGAACACAAAAGCGAGTAAGGAAAAAGAATGAACACACCAGACAATGCAAGTACTCGCTGCTGCTGCTGCTGCTCCTGCTTGATGCAGAGGGTGTGTACATTTCACTCTCCTCCTTCCTAGGAACCGACCAAGTTAACCCTTTGATAGCTAACCCGACACTCTACCGACCAACCACCAATCACGTTAATCAAGCCATCCATCCATCCACCCATCACTCGCACCCAACCATTTAGCAGTCAACGAACGGCCTAGTTGGTCAACCTCTGAACTACTATGACTAGAACCTTTCTCCGAACCTGACAAACAGTGCTCCTGTGCCTGCATTACAATCCCTGGCGTATTCGGCGCGCACTGCACCGAGCTTAACACCGCACCCCCACGACGCCCCGCTTCCAACCCTCCGGAAGAATTCGGTCGGGTTCCCCCTGACATCCTTGGAGCTATTCAAATCTGTCCCGTACTCGTAAAACCCGTACACGTGCTTTCCCATGATTGGATATCGCAGCTCAGCCGCGAGCTCAAGGAAGCGCCTGCACGCGGCCAGTTCGCCCACGTTGTACCCGCGCACAGAGTACGGCCCCCCGAGCGTGAAGACGTCGTAGCTGGCCAGATCTCCGACACACCCTCCATATCTACCGTGCAGAACGGCCACGGGAGGCAGCTCGTTGGAATTCGGCTCCACTTCCTTCAACTGGATGAACCGCGTGATGGTCATCTGATGCCTGTTGAAGAACGGGAAGCGGCTGCCAATCCCAACCCCCTGATCCAGTTGGTAGATCTCTCTGCCGCCCACCGGGGTCCCGTTGACGAACTTCGTATTGTCGCGAGTGACATTCGCTTGCAAGAAGGCCACGCGATCGACTCCCGTGTCCGACAGCGTGGTGGGTGGTCCGTCGACGGTCATGGCTCCGCTCGGAAGGGCCCTGCTTCCGTGGGTGCAGATGGCGCTCGACTCGTCCCTCGTCGTCACCTCCTCCATCACCATACCGTACGTCACTCTGCTCTGTCTGGTGTAATGCTCCGTCAGCGTCAGCTTCGCCCCCGTCCGGTCCACCCAAACCGCAGGCACCTCCTCCAAACTCGGCCCTCCAGTAAAAACCGCGCTCAGCTTGCGACTGTTGAACCCGCTGATTCGCAGCGTGGTTCTCGCCGGATCATCGTCGCCGTACACGTAAGGATGCAGGTACTCGACCTTAAACCCCAGGTCGTCCTGCGGATTAAATAGGTTGCTCGTGCTGACGCTCCCATAGATAGAACGATTCTCGCCCGCGATGTTCCTGTGTTCGAAGAAGACGCTCCCGCCGGGCTGAATGCTCGCGAGCGCCGGCCGACCACTCTCCCCCGGCGCAATGCTCCACTCCGTTTCCACCTCCGCCGTCTTCATCTGCCTCTCCTTCACGACTATGTCAACGACGACCGACCCTTCTTCGCTCTCGTCCGGCTTCGGTACGACCTGCACGTTTTCAAACAACTGCAGCATGAACACGTCCCTCAGCGCTTTCCTGCCATCCTCGATGTTATACATTTCTCCGCGCTGCATCCCTTCGGGCAGCTCCCTCTCGACCACGTGCCATTTGGTCGAGCCCGGCTGCGGAGCCGGGTTGCCGACCGCATCCGTGAACACCATTCTCACCTTCGAGATGTACCCTTCCTGAATCTTCGCAACCAACTCGCCTGTGTCCATGCCGTCGAAAACGACCACCTGGGCGAAAACAAACCCTTTGTCGTGGTACCACTTCTCAACCTGCTGCTTCAGCTTCGACAGAGTGCGCACCGTGCAGACCTTGTCGTTCTTTATCTCCTTCCATATCTGTCTCCTGAGCTCCTTGGGGAAATGCGGCGCGTCCATGAGCTTCAGGCTGCGCAGGCGCGGCCACCTCTTCTCCCTGTAGCCGTACTGAACGCGCAGGCCCCCTTGCGACCCCACCTGCACCTCCGCATCGACGCTCACGAACAGCCCAGTGTCAATGAGGCTCTGGAGGTCCTCATTTACTCCATCCTTGGTGAAAAGCCCGCCAGACCTGATCTGCACGTGATTGTACAACTCATCTGTCTTGGGAATAACTTGCTTGGTCAGCAGGTCAACAAGCACCACCTCCTCCGCCGAGTACCGTTTGCTCTCCTGCAACTTGTCCCAGGGGATCGTTTTCTGAATGCGCTGGAACTGATCGGAGGCGCCCTTCTGAGTGGCCCCGCCAGCATCCGCGCCCTCGTCGCCCTCTCTGGCTTCCCCCTCTCCGCCCTCGTCTTCATCTTTGTCTTCCTCGTCTTCAGACTCCGATACCGCGTCGTCTTCCACTTCAGCGAACGCGATACCCCTGTCGAATCGAAGGAACCCCTCGCCGCCCCCCCCCCAATTCCCCCCCCCCCCCCCCCCCCCCTCCCCCCCCCCCCCCCCCGCTTCCGCCCCCCCCCCCACCCTCTCCGCTCAACAAGGATCTTCCGCCGCCCTTCACCACAACTAGCCTCGTGGCTAGCCCGGCCGCCGCACCCACAACGCCTAAAGTTACTCTCTTCAGCAGCCGCCACCGCTCGTGCTCGTTCCCCAACGCTTGCTGCAACACCTGCACATTCTTCAACCGCTCGCTTGATCCTGCCGCAGCCGCTGCGGCCTCCGTCAGTACCACATTGGCAGGGGAAAGCGTTGCGTTCCTCTCCCAGCGCCCGCCGCTGCCATCCAACCTCAGGCTGGTCTCTCTGCGGCTGCCGTTCGACTTACTGCCACTGCAAGCACCCGCCCCAGTGGCACCTCCACCGCTGGTTACTCGGCGGTAATTGTAGTTGTGAAGGGTCAAGATGGGAGCGCCGCTCGGCCCCTCGCGAGCGAGCTGCAATCCCGCACATCCTCCAAACGAGGCTACAGCATGCGAGGAGGACCGTTCGGAGAACCCGAGATGCGCTTCGCTGAGCGCATGAGAACAAGTGTGTGACGACGCGAGGGAGACGCCCGACCTGTGAGCCAGCTGCGCAGCTCCCACCGCCGCAGCCATGGTCGAAAATCCTACTACCTCGCCCGCCACCAGAGAGAAAGGCTCGCCAAATCAGCCAGATTCAGGATGGTCGACGTGGATAAGCCAATGGAGAAAAGCAACTCAGGGACGAACGCACAGGAGTTCCTTTCGGGCACACACGGAGGTTCTCAGCGCCCCTCCTTCCAGTCGATCACGAACGACACGGCGATGGGACGGCAGCGGCTGGCGGCGGGCAGACTGCTCACATCTAGCGCGGGGAGAGGCAGGTGACGACGCAGGGCAGGAGAAGCCGCGAAACAAGGCAAGGTGGGGGCCCGGGGCGGGGGGGGCGGCGCGTGGCGAGGCTGGGCCAGGACGAGGAGCACGCAAGGTCCGTTCATCGCCGCTCGCCGTGGCGCAGTCGACGTCCGGAAGCAACATGGGTACCGGTCCGGGTAGGACGACACCGTCTCCGCTCGTCAGGCCCGAAGACAGCCACTAAAGCCGTGCCGCCAGTCCACTTCATGTTGAAAGAGACTCCCACCTGTGTGAACAGGCACACCCACCGTGTGAAAATCCTGCCCTCGACAGTCTCAAATGCATCCCTCGCGGTGTGCGGGTACAAGAATTGACTTACCGTGAGGGCACGTGTGCGCAGCCCGGAATTTGTTTGTTGATGTGGTTGGGGTAGGGTAATTCACTGTTTTTTCGCGTTTTTTCTAGGCTACCAGCCGGGCCGCCCGGGTCCCGGGTGGCCAGCCCGTGCAAGGACCAGGGAAGGTCCCAACAGAAAAAAAAAAAGCAAGAACAAATTCCAAGAACTCCAAAAACTCCAGCGGCCTAGCTCAGTTGGTAAGGCACGCAAGTGGCATTCAGGAGGTCTTGGGCTTAATCCCCATTGGCCTCATATACCTTCCTGGGCATGCTTGGCGCCCGCCACCTAGAGATAACCTGTTGGTCCCCCCAATTCACAGCCCGTCAGGGTTGCGTTTTCCGCCCCGGAGACATTTCAACGTCAATTCGCAGCCCATCAGGGATGCGCTTTCCCCCCCTGAGACATTCAACGTTCAACGTCAAATTTCAACGTGGTGGTTGTCGGGAGGGTGGTCATTTTTTGGTTTTGGGGCCTTGCAAGGGCCAGGACCGCGTAGGACCGGTAGCTGCGCGGTCCAGGACCGGTAGTAGGAGGCCGAGGAGGCCGCAGTCCTTTTTCGAAATTGAAACGGTGCGGGTAGTCCTTTTTCGAAATTGAAACGGTGCAGGTCCTACTTGTATTCGAATACAACCTGTACTGCACCCTTTCTATTCGGATTTCGAAAAGAAAAAACTCTTGTATTCCGATAAAATTACTTCTTCTTTTTGTTGGAGGTCAGCGCCTGCCCTTGTGCTC